GGGGTGGAAGCACTCACCTGACCTCCCAGCAGCTGGGTCATTGCTGTTTACTGGGAGGGGGAGGGCAGGGCAAGAAGGACAGTGTAGTGCAAACAGAGCCAGCAGGAGTGCTGGATTGGCTCCACTGATGCATTTGCAGCAAACCAAATTCACCCGCCCCTCCGCTTCCTGGTAAGCAGCAGCAAATCACCTGCCAGGAGGTCAGGGAAGGACCTCCAGCCCCCCCATGGCATCTGCTGCTGATTATTTGTTAATGTAAGCACCTGGTAGGCAAGGCTTGCCAGCACATCTTTTTAATAAGACTAAAAAGAGACAGGATACATTTCAGTTTCGTTTTGCAAAGTGTTGGTCCTCCTTTGCTGTGAGCTGCAGATCCAGCTATTTCATGATTCTCACCAGCCAGGAGGCTGCCAGTCCTTTTTTGGGGAGAAAGAAACCAGGAGTGCTGGTTCACAGGTAACACTAAGCCAGCTGTGTGCTCTTTCCAACCATCAGACAGAGTGCAGACGGATGCAGGAGAGGAGCAAAGAGGGGACTTCTGAGCAGCCTGCGCCAATGTGATGCTCATTTGTATTAAACTGTGGTTTAATGTTACTTGCAAGCCAACTCACTGAGACATTCTTCTGAGCAAACATGCTTAGGATCATTGTAGTGGGAAAATGCAGCCTATATCATGCTGCATGGCTGTACAGTGGTACCTCAGGTTACATACACTTCAGGTTACAGACTCCGCTAACCCAGAAATAGTGCTTCAGGTTAAGAACTTTGCTTCAGGATGAGAACAGAAATCGTGCTCAGGCAGCAGCGGGAGGCCCCAATAGCTAAAGTGGTACTTCAGGTTAAGAACAGTTTCAGGTTAAGTACGGACCTCTGGAACGAATTAAGTACTTAACCTGAGGTACCACTGTAATCCTATGCATGTTCAGGCTATGTACACATTACTAGCTTAAAATAGTGTTTTTACTGTTTTTCAAGTTGAATTTGCATAGTGTTGTATGGTGTTTGCATGGTTTGGTTTTCTCATCCCTGCAATGACTCCCAGCTCTGCACCCCACCCACTGCTCTATTGCAGACACATCACAGAGTTGAAATAAACGTCTCCTTATCACTTCTAGGTTCTCCTTTGAAACACACACACACACACACACACACAGACAGAGAGAGAGAGAGAGAGCGCTTCCCACCATTGTCACTTTTTGAAAAGCAATCTATAATTTATTCTGGCTCTCAGTGGCTGGCGCAATTGATGCACGCTTGCACAGAGAAGGAGAGGAGTGTGGTTAGTAAGAAAAGTGTGGAGAAAGGAGAGGGGGCTGCTAGTGTGTTCTGGGCTCTGAATTGCTCAGACTATCTTGATTCTTTACCTCTTTGCTGCACTCTCGGCTCCCTTTCCCCTCCATGGCTCCCACCTGGAGACAGTTCACAGCTTTATTTCTCTCAGTGATGGCACTTTAAATAATCAAAGTGAGTGTGAAGAACAGGTCCTTCTCGCTTGCAGAGACTGATAAGCAGAAATGAGCATGGATCTCAATCTCTCTCTCTCTCTCTTCTCTATCTATCTATTTCTCCATGCAATATTCTGCCCTTGGGAGGAAAGGAGGAGTTAACTTTTTCTTATTTTTCATTAGTTACGTCCAAGTTGGCTTTAAACTGACAGGGCAGGGAACAAGTGCAGTGCAAAGAGTACACCAATGGTATGCATCCAACCCACTTGTGAGTTTTTCAGCAGAAGCAGGGGAAGGATGCTTTTGCAATGCAAATTGTGATATCTACATCTCATTGAATATTTGATTCACTTTACATATTTCTCTGCTTTTAAAATTATCTGCTTCAGTTAGCGATCTACTGAATACCGAAACAACGACAACAGCCAACCAATGCCTGCCTGCCCTCTTGTCTCCTTGCATTGATAACTCCAGGAACTAATGTGCTTCCTTAACTCAACCCATCAGAGTTACTACAGGGAGTTCACATACGTGCGCACATATCACATATTGAAAGCATTATATAGGGATGGCAGGAGGAAGCCAGCTAGACAATGCCCACATAATCACAGCCCACTACCAGCCATGTATTGGGACGCAGGTGGCGCTGTGGGTTAAAGCCTCAGCACCTAGGACTTGCCGATCGAAAGGTCGGCGGTTCGAATCCCTGCGGCGGGGTGCGCTCCTGTCGTTCGGTCCCAGCGCCTGCCAACCTAGCAGTTCGAAAGCACCTTCGGGTGCAAGTAGATAAATAGGGACCGCTTACTAGCGGGAAGGTAAACGGTGTTCCGTGTGCTGCGCTGGCCTGCCAGAGCAGCGATATCACGCTGGCCACGTGACCCGGAAGTGTCTGCGGACAGCACTGGCTCCCGGCCTATAGAGTGAGATGAGCGCACAACCCTAGAGTCTGGCAAGACTGGCCCATACGGGCAGGGGTACCTTTACCTTTACCAGCCATGTATTAGATGGGCTTGTGAAAGGGTCCTCAATGCATAGCTTGCCCAGATGTCGGGGTCTTTTACACAAGGTTGAATTCTAATTGGGCCACAATCCCCCCTCACATGGATACATTCCTATACATGTTGTGCCCTTTGCTAAGGATACTGACTATACAACTAGATGGCAAGTGGGACTTGCCAATACAATCCCTCCCCTGTGTTTTTAGTGTATGACTGCAGCTCTGCACCTGGGAAAAGTTTTCATCTTGAAGCAAGCCTACAAAAGTGTGCTTCACTCTAAGCTTTAGAGAAGCAACTCCTGATTAGTCTGGAATGAGGAAGACCATACAGACCAGCTTTCTGAAACCTGGTGCCCTCCAATTGTTTTTATTCCCATCAGCCCCAACCAGCATGGCCAATACTCGGGGATGGTGGGAGTTGTAGTCCAAACCACATGGAGGGCCGCAAGGTGAGGAAGACTGGTATATACATATACCTTAACGAGGATGAGGAATCTGTGGTCCTCCAGAGATGGTTGGACTACATCTCCCATCATCCCTGACCATCAGCCATGATGGTAGGGAATGATGAGAGTTAGGGTCCCAGCAACAACTGGAAGAGTTCTTATTCCTGATACAGAATAGGTTTCCTGCAATGATTTCATTTGTTTATGAAAACTTTCTCCAGGCTCTATCATGTCCCTGTGAGAGAGAGAAAGCCCCAGCTAAAAACAACACAGAGCACTTATTTCCTCAATAAGCAGGTGACAGCACCTTCAGCTTTTGTGTGTGCACATCCACAGTGACTTCTTGCTCTTACAAGAATGGCCTGGCAGTGGCTTCTTGCATCTATTCAATCCTACTGGGACTTTGCATCAGTAGCCTTGCTTTTCAAAAACTGCTTTCTGATACTGTGCCCCCATGGAGCCATGAGAAAACAGGCTTCTTGACTCTGACATGAAATGCCCTCCTCTCATTCCCCACCCCGAGTGCCACAAGGGGGAGAAAGTAATCTCTAATGGCAGCCATGTATCTCAAGGCAACTCTTTCCCTGTCATGGTCACTAGCTTCAGAGGTTGTTTGATGCCCATTGGCTGTAGCGGAGATCAGATAGGCTTCTGGTGGCCTTCTTTGCACTGCCCCAGGCAAGGAAATGGGAAGAGCTAGCTTGAGTAGCAGGGTGGGGAAGACTTAAGAGGAAAGGCCTTTGGCTTGATGAGCATTGGATGGAGCAACCAAGATGATACTCCTGCTCAGGATGTCAATTATGAACTAGGAATGGATGAATCTGTCAATTTAGGCTTTTCTCTGGTTCTCACATTGACAGTTCACCCCACTTGTGCAGCAGCCGGGGATTTATTTCTTTTAAGTCTACATGAAAATCCATACAGATTTCTGTGCATATTTCTCTTAATATATAAAAAAATGTATGCAATTTGCCCTAATCTATGCATTTTGTCAAGCAATTTCCCCATTAATATTAATTATATTGGATTTATTGTTGTTTGTTGTTGTTGCTTATATACCACCTTTCATTCTGAAGATGTCCAGGATGGCGAACAACATAATTACAAGAACAGGACTGGACACAATATTTTAAAACTTTTTTTTTAAGCAGCACAGTATAATATTACAGCACAATAATAATGTTGTTAGGACCCAGGGCAAAGAAATCATGATCCAAAAGCGCAGGCAGGATGCGAGGGGAATGGGGGGTTTGCACATTTTTGAATGCATATTATTATTATTATTATTATTATTATTTAATTTTGCAAAGTTAAAAACACTTTACACTTTCCCCCTGGTTACATGCATTGTTGAATGTATTTGGAAAAGTGAGTCATAGCAGCTGGAGAAGGGCACATTTCAAGTAATAGCTGTGTTTTGGTTTGTGCATTGGATCAGGAAGCGCAAATCAGACAAGCACTTATCAAAATGCAAACCCTATTTATTTATCCCCATCCTGAGTATGAGCAGCCATATCCAAACACAACTCATAATTGGAAGGTCCCTGCCTGGGAGCTCTCAGAAAGCAGTGGGCGCAAAGATAGGATCCAATATCCAATCCTTGCTACTTGGCAACTTCTGCTGAATAACCAGGGTCAAAGGGACTGTTCACAAGTTGGAATTTCAACCTGCTCCCCCCCCCCGAAAAAAGGCCCTAAACCCCACAACCCTATTCAACATGAGCTCAGTAACATATAGCAACTTGAGCAAATTAATGGCTATGCACATAGCTCTGACGGTTCTCTTTTATACAATAGCCTATAAATTCCACTGTCTGCAATAGCATCAGTATCACAAACGCAACTGTTAGCATGCTGAAGTTCTGATTGAATTAGACATCCCAGCACTGGATCTGTTCATAACTTCCAAATGTAATTCAATAGCCACCAGCGCACGGTTATGCTGTGTCACCAACCATATTCCTTCCCGCTGCAGCATCCCCAGCACAGGCAAGCAAACAACAGAGTAGCATGAAGCCCAACTTATTGTCCCTTTCACCCCCTTGCAGATGGGAAGCCATGCCTGCTGGCTACCCAGAAACGCTGAGAAAAGGAAGGAGACCAGAGACTTACGCAAGGCATGCCACTCATCCTGGCGGATGGTCTTCGTAATGTTGTAGGTGAGGTTCTTGGGAATTGTTGCTGAGGAGTAGTGGTACTTGATGTATGAACACTGGTCAATTGCTCCTGGGAAAGGCAAGAAGAAGGCAATGTTTGTTATGCAAGAAGAGAGACTTGTTCCATTCCAGCAGCATTGCACAATTCAGCGTGAGAGACCCACACCTAGAAGATGTGGGACACCGGCAGGAGGATTGCTTAACATCAACAAGCCTAGAGAAACAGTCAGGATGTCGCAGGAAGCCTCGTTCACTATTGTCCTGGAACCACTGTGAGCCCAGTTAATACACTGAAAAGTGGAGAGGGCGGACTAGTGGGAAAGTGTGTGAACACCCTGAAAGTGCATTGGGATAATGTGCGAGTGCTCATCATTGTGTAACCTCCCCACAAACCAAGGTTCAGTAAATACCAGATATAATCTAAACTCCATCCATGGGTGTAGTCAAGATTTATTTTAGAGGGGCAGGCTTTGTTAGAGGGGAAGAAGTGAGATATCTGCAATGCAATTGGTCAGTTAGTTAAGTATTTCTATTTATTTACTTGATTTAGGCTGCCCCTCCTCGCACACCCCTGGCTACGCCTGTGACTCCATCTGATCTTTGTTCACGAAAATCAGGATAGTCAACAAACAGGTTGTCTGGAGAAGCTCATACTGCAATAGTACAATAGTATTTTTTGCCACGGCTTTCTCATTGTGAATCCTGAACATTGTAGTTTCCAGATCCCTCGACATCCTGGTCAAGCTCCTCTGAACACAGCCCAACTTGTCAATGCCCTTCTTAAAAGGTGGTGCTGAACAATGCGCTCCAGTGGCAGCCCTTAACCAGGGCAGACTAGAGTAGAACTGCTTCTTTAATCTGGACACAATTCTGTTACGATATTTGGAATCCAACAGGCTAGGTCTTTTCTACCACTTCGCCTTTATCAAATGAGCCTTTTGAGCCACGTTAGGTCATTAAACTGCACTTGGCATGAACACACCACAAAAGTGGAGGGTGACTAAATCATTATGCAACCAAATTGCTAGTTACAACAGAGGCGGGTTTACATCTTCCCAAGTTACCGGAGGTGTTCCATTGTTTGCTTTCCTTCCATGTTTCTAACATTCTGCCTTTGACAGCAATTAGATTAGACAAAGCCAAATATTATAGGGGGGAAGCAAAATATTTACATATGTACACGTCTGCCCTGACAGCGTGATGGGCTCCGGCGTGTGCCTTCGCCATCTGGGCACCAAATGCACACCCAGAATGAAAGTTTCCAACTACGAACCATACTTAAAAAAAGAAAGCCATTGTGATCCTTTTTAAAGTCCCCCAATTGCCTCCTTCTGTGCATTTTTTAAAAAGATGGTTATGCCAGCCTGAAAGACACAAAACCTGACCTTCCATCGTACTTACTTCTGTTACAGGTATGGGATGAAGGTTTTGGCACAAAGTTGTAAAAGGCGTATTGGTCTGGAATTAAACTTTACACTATTATATACCTGCCCAGCGTAAGCTCTCCTCTAGAGAGCCAGCAAAGTACACAAACCCACAGATGCAGAAAAAGAAGAGGAAAAGAAGACATGAGTGATGGCAATGATCTTATTCACATCTACCTCCACCTGCCTGTCTTCATGCGGACAACCAGTCCAGGGCATAGGACTGACTGCCAACTTCCTCCTCCTAAATCTCAGCGTTACCTTTGCGGAACTCAACAAGGGGGAGGAGTCAAAACTAGAATCAGTTGGCTCTGCCTGCCATTGGCTCTAGCTCCACCTACTGTTGACCTTCCTGCCTTCTTCCCTTCTGGTCCCAAGGGGCAGCCAACATCAACGGTGCAGTGGAAATCAAAGCATTTGTTCACAGTGTAAACTACACATGGCATTCTTCAGGTGCATTCACAAAGCCTCCTGTTGCTGCCATAATCACCTCCAAAACAGTCTTCCCTTTCATGTGTTCAGACAGAGCTATTCATAGCGGATAATAAATTCAGTTGCTATTCTTTGTTCTTTTACAAATGCACCATTTGAGCTGAACTGATGAAAATTTAAAATACGAGCAAATTTCAGCCTGCAGCTTGTTTCGGGAGGCGTATCGCCACATCTTGTGCTTTTGCCCACATTTGTTTTCAGTGAGAAGGTGGTTGTAATCTCTTGTAGTTTTGCTTCATTTCCTGGAGTGGTAAGTTTCAACTGGAACGTACAGGCTGGTGGTATCAACAAACTTTTACTCAGGGCAGACCCCTTGACATCAATGGACTTAGCTTAGTCATGCTCATTCATTCCAGTGGGCCTGTTCTGAATAAAACTTAGCTGAATACCACCCACAGTCAGATCCGTTCCCAAGTTTGAAAGGCAGTGTCTCCATCTATTCCTTTGGCTGTGAAAGGACAACTGTGAGCTCATCATTCTCTTGTAGTAATTCAGTGCTTAGGTGCCTTTAGAGCTGGGATATTTATCATTCCCTCCAGCTGCTACATTTCTCCAGCTGCATACATCTGGTGCAATGTTACTCGTAATCCTCTTGCTAAAATTTAACCCTCTGTGGGTCCTGATATAGTGAGATGGCTGCTGCTCGTAGTGGGTTAGGATCTGGCTAGGGCTTGAGTGTCAAGGTTAGCAAGGCAAAGCTTAGAATAACAATTGTCTGAAGGGTAGTGATTGTTGGAAGGTCATGATCAAGGGTGCCAGCTTGAATAAAATATTGGGGGGCTTGGGTAAGCCTCTGCCCGTATAATCAATCACAAGACACGGTACATGCATCCCATTTGACTGGCAATGCTTAGCAACTTGGGGGGGCAGCCCCCTCAAATATTTTTATGGGGAAGGCAAAGGAACCTTGGCCCCTAGAAGTTGGCTCCTGATAGTTAAGGAGGCTGAAAGCTGTTAGGAGACCCCTGTTTCCCTACAATTCCCACAGGTCCCTAGGAAAAGGGGTTGATTGTTAAACCTTACTGAGAATTGTCACTCAATGAAGGAAACAGAGGTATCCTAACAACTCTCAGCCCCCTTAACAAACTACACTTCCCAGGATTCCTTGGGGAGGTTACAAAACAGCTACAAAATAATTCTCAAAGTAGCATGCAGCCTCCACTACTGTTCAAGCTGCTGGAAGTCAGGCGTAGCCAGGGCACACTGGGGTCTCTGGAAAGTGAGTGATGCTCATGGATTGGGAGCACAGCGGAGCGGGAGGAAGGAGAGAGAGAATGTGTATCCAGCTCACTAACCCTACTTTCTGGGAAAAGTAGAAATCAAAGATGTGTCTACAAATGAACTGTAGGGACCCAAGGCAGCCTCATTGCCCATGAAGTCTGAAGATGACATATTGGTGCATCTTCTCACGCCTGACATGGGGAGTGTGGAGTGTGCCTTAAAATTCTGCCTTGGGACAATCCTGACCCTTCACTTTGCCTCCTTAACCCTGATGCACAACCCTTGGCCAGATCCTGCCATACCACTAGCACTGGTCACCTCACTATATCAGACCCTTCAATGTAGGGTTGAGGTTCAAACAGAGGATTATGAGTAAGGTTGCACCAGATGCGCATAGCTGGGTAATTGTAGCAGCTGGTGGGAAAGATAAACATTCCAAATCTGAAGGCACCCAAGCACTGAATCACCACTAGAGAATGATGAGCTCACAGTTGCTCTCCCACAGCCAAAGGACAACACAGAGGTCCAAAGGACAGTTATGAAACACACACAGCCTGGCTGTTAACCTTCTCCAGGCCAGGGCACAGTGGCAGAGAGGAGTTACAAGCTCCTTGTCCTTTGTTCAGTCTCCTTGTCTTATCTGTTTTTCATGGGTTATGAAGTTTAAAAGGCTGGACATTCTTTATCCCTGCTTGTTTGGAGACAAAACAAAACAAATTCCTTCCAGTAGCACCTTAAAGACCAACTAAGTTAGTTCTTGGTATGAGCTTTCGTGTGCATGCACACTTCTTCAGATCCGCATGCACACGAAAGCTCATACCAAGAACTAACTTAGTTGGTCTTTAAGGTGCTACTAGAAGGAATTTTTTTTTGTTTTGACTATGGCAGACCAACACGGCTACCTATCTGTTTGGAGACAGAAATTAAATGATCAATAAAGAGTCACTGAGACATCAATTATTGGTAGAGATGCGTTGATGATCTAGGAGCTCCTTAAATAAGCTTTTATTTCAGGGAAGAAGCCCTACATGGATCATTGTGCTGTCCAATAAGGTGGAAAAGGAGAAGTGTAAGCAGGCACAGGACTCTCTCCCCAACAATATGAACAATGAGTCAGAAAGTCACCTGGTCACTGGACCAAATCTCATCTTAGCCATGTATTAGCTAGATGGCTTTCAACAAACCATACTCTCAGGTCTCCTGCTTGTAACAAAGCCAGTGTGGCACAATGGTTAGGATGCCACACTAAGACTGGGGAGACTCAGGTTCAAATCCCCACAAGTTCAGGAATCTCACTGCATAATCTTGAGCCAGTTGCACTCTCACAAGCCCAACCTACCATACAGGGCTGATGTGAGGATAGAATGGGGAGGAGGAGAACCTGGTACACTACTTTGTTCTTTTTGGAGGAAAGGTGGGATAGAAATGTAATTAATAATAATAATTTTTATTTATACCCGCCCTCCTCAGCCAAGGCCAGACTCAGGGCGGCTAACAAGCAATAATAAAAACAAGTTGAATGAATACAACTTAAAAACAAGATTAAAATACAACAATTAAAATAATGGAACATTAAAATATTAAAATGCAGCCTCATCACAGGAGTAGAAAGGAAAAAGAAAAAAAGGGGGGGAGGGAACCAAATTGGCTCCAAGCCAAAGGCCAGGCGGAACAACTCTGTCTTACAGGTCCTGCGGAAAGAAATCAGATCCTGCAGGGCCCTGGTCTCATGAGGCAGAGCGTTCCACCAGGCCGGAGCCAGTGTTGAAAAGGCCCTGGTTCTGGTTGAAGCTAATCTAACTTCCTTAGGGCCCGGGACCACTAGGGTGTTGCTATTTATGGACCTTGAGGCTCTCCATGGGGCATGAGGCAGTCCCGTAGGTACGAGGGTCCTAGGCCGTGAAGGGCTTTAAAGGTCAAAACCAGCACCTTA